TCGGGGCTATTGGGTGGGACAATTGACCGGGAAGTTTGTCGTAGATCGTTTTATGGTATTGTACCATTAAGTCGAACCTCTTCGACCACTCAGCACTGGACAGCCTCCACTCACTTGGAACTGGCAAACCGTGGTAAGATATGACGTCTGACGAGCAACTAGAGACCTTGGTTTTCTTCATGCTCATATGGGCTTTGTCGAGTAATAACCACTTTACGTTAAAGATCGATACCGGTACGTGTCTGTTCTTGTTGGTCATAAATTTATCAAAATATTCTGACAGGCGTGGCATCGTGTGACTCAAAGTTGTACCTTCTTCAAACTCTGTACTAGGTTTGTCTTTCTTCTTCTTTGCTTTTTTCGTTGGTTGCTCGTCTTCATCACTGCTCTTTTCTTCATCTTCTTCTATCAATCATTCACTCCACATCAGATCATTTCTTTCTGTATCTTGATTAAATTCTATACTCTCTCACCTTCACTATCTTCATCATACAGCCTTGGATCTCTCTCTTTCGTATTCATCTTCTTACACCAGCTTGTGTACGACTTCTCTAACATCTCTAGTCTCTTGGTCTTCCCTTTCTCAAATGCTGATTTTATGCCACTTATCCATTTCCCGTGTGCTAGGCAAATATCAGGGCCTTCAATGATGTCATCGATATCTGGTTCTAATCCGGGAGTTCAAAGGACATGTATTGTAAGCAACTTATCTTTCTAATCTATCGCTCCACAACGCTTTTATCTCTAATCATGTCTCTATATGGCAGTCTTTATCACTTCCACCACAAACTCTTCGGACTTTAACCGGAATCAAGCTACCTGAGTATTCCTCCTTCGGAATTTAACCGGAATCAAGCTTATTTATATATAGAAATTTGTTCTTCGGACTTCAACCGGAATCATTCTCTCCTTCCAACCCTACACTCATCGGAATTTAACCGGAAAAATCTTATTGAATAAGGACTGAATACACTAGTTTTTGGAACCTTACTTACGTAAACCGATCAAGTTTCCTCCCTTCTCATTTGTACCTTCATCTACCTGATCGTCATCGCCTCCTACTTCTCTTGAAGTGTCCTCCTGAAGGTCTTCGTTTGGTTGATCTGTCTCTACCAGGTTCGTTTGGTTGCTACTTCCTGGATCTTTTGCAGACCTCAATGTATCCAGTTGAGATTGACCACTCTCTTGCATCAAAGTATCCGTGTTGACATCTTCGTTTTCTTTCTCTAGATGCTCGGCCGTCTTCTTGCTCCTGGTGTTCACCTGTTTTCCTTTTCCCCCGGTCGGTTTCTTAGTGGTCGCATTTCCAGGTGCTGCGATCCTTGGTCCTAACTCTGCTGCTGCCGCTGCTTCTCGTAACTCTTCGGCTGACATTTGTACGGGTGAAGGTGGTGATAGGATGTACTTTGAGAGGGAATAGGAATGTATTTGAGGGGGGGATTGTGTATTGACTTTGAGATAAGACTGGAATTTCTAAGGGTTATTCTTGTTGGTTAGTTTATATAAGTTCTTTTTAATGGATATATGTTCTTGTTTCTAGTTTTTCTTCAGTTATGTCTCTTCTTGTTCAATGTATGAAAATAAAGGAAATAAAGAAAAAAAAAAAAAATCTACTAAATTTTCTGCGAACTTGCGTCTATCGTTGAGAGGTCTGAGGGATGATGGAAAACTCTGACTCAGAGATTTTCCTCTCTTGGGTTTGTACTCTTCTCTGGCCTAGTTTCTGCTAGGCCCGGGGTCCCCGTGTCTGTGATCCGCGGGGCCGCTCATCCTCAGCCCTCATGGAACTAGCGGATACCGTCGTGCCTTTGGGTATCCACCCCATTCTTCGATGTTACGCGTTGCTGCTTTATGTTACAGCCTAAACTGGTAAGCAACTTCTGTATTTGCTTCCACTCACTGTTTACTCTAACATCCTTTGATTTCCGGTTTTTTATTGCAAACTCAGTCGTGGTATTATCTGTCTCGACCCAGAAGGTCCTACCCCTGACTGGGATTGACTTAGCCAAGACCAGTAGGCCCAAACGAATTGTAACCGTCTCCGCCCAAGCGATGTTGCGTTTACCCTTCGTAAGTCCCCTTTCTATCCAATCTGCTTCCCATTCGAAGCACGACCACTTGTTACCAATCAAGATACCAATCCTGGAATTTCACACCTTTTAGTGGATCTCAATCTTTCTTGATTCAGCTGGCCTGAAAGACTTACCCGAAAGACGATGACGCGTCCCCAACCCAGCCCACTTCCTCTGGGTCTGGGTTTGTCACTAGCCTACGAGGTTCGAAACTTGACAACCACGTGTCCCATTCCTTCAGGTCCTCCAGTACATCTTCAGGAGCCTGACGTTTTGCATCAAGGTTCTTCCAAGATTTGAGCCACCGGTATATTGAACCTAGCGAGGCTGCCATGTTCGGGACAATGCGCACTATATGATTCAGCCTGCCTACGAATCTTTCGACTTGAGTGAACCTCCAAGTATTCTTCACGTCTAAGTAAGCTTTTATCTGATCCTTCCTTTCTTGAAGCTTCTCGATTGGTAGCCTGACTGTATGGTCTACCCCATTCCATATAAACCCAAGGAACTTTTGTTCAGTTGCAAAATCATGATTCTTCAGCCGGTTTGTTCTGACTCCCAGTCCGTCACTCAGAAGCGTCACTTCCTCCAAAGTCACTGAATCACTTGGTCTCTGGAGGATCAAGTTATCGTCTACCCACCTAAAGATCATCGGAATCTTCAGAATTGCCATCATAATCTTCTTCCATGTCTCTGCCGGGGCTCCAAACACCCCACAGCTAGCCACGCCTCCGAACCCAACTGCTAGATCAATCCAGATCCTACCTTCGAAATCTTTTATACACAGGAAACGTCTTTGTGAAGGGTGGTTGTGGAGTTGGCGGTATGCCTTCTCCCATTCACCTTCGTTCTCTGCAAAAAACCGAGCCACCATTTTGAAATCGTCCCAATTAGTAGTATAATTCCTTTTATCTACAAAGGAATTCACCGATGGCACAGAGGGAAGTTCTTCTTCCTTCTCTTTCCCCTTTGATTTCCGGTTTTTCTGTCTCTTCTTCTTTGGGTGTGACCAATTGTTAATGAGTCTTACTGATCCGTCGCCATTTATGGCACTCCCCATAGAATTTGACCGAAAAAACCCAAACTTCTCATAGACCTGTTCGTGCGTGAAGGGTCCAATTAGCCTCCCGGCTCTCGCCTCTTTTGCTATTGTGTTATTTATCTGGTCCTTAACGTCTAGAGCTGAACAATGGTTATCTGGCGTGTACCACCTAACGCCTTCTATCTCGTGTTGGGGGATCCCCAAGCAGAAACCTTCCTTGAAACCATTCACTACATACGGCACATTGTCCTCTAAACCGACTTCTTTCATCAAGACTTCCCATTCGGCTACGTTCATCGCAGTCTCCACGGGAGCTGGCCAGAGGTTGTCCGTCTCCACCGTGTATATCTTCCGACTGCTCAGAGGGGGGATGTCTGTCTTCGCGTTTCCCTGTGGAAGCACCAAATCATCCGAGGAGTCACTCTCTAACTCAGCTTCCGATACCTCGACTTCGCTCTCAGGCTCAACTTGATCTTTCTCATTGACCTCAGTCTCTGGGATCATAGCTCGAGGACTACTGGGTGGCACTAGACAATTCATAGCAATGGCACGACAGAAATTCAGACTCTCAATTGCCATTATCACATAGTTTGTAGCTCTCTCATCTATACAAGGTAAAGGCACCGTACCATCCATAATTAACCCATTCATCCATACCCATCATCACATATCCAGGAACGCAAAAGACCACCATCCGACCGGAAACCCACAACCCAACACGTTTTTGTCAGCTGTGTACCAACTATCGAAAACTCGACCAAACTTACCGGTCTAGGTTTTTCGCGCCTTTCTCTGGCTTCTTTCCTCCCTTTACGACGGACGGGCCTGCCACTACGTTGCTAGCGTGCTGTTGGCCCAGAGAGACCCAATCTCTGCCCGCGCTCCCGTCTCGACGTTGGAATTGGCCTGATGGCTGATTCGCTGGTTGGTAAGGTCTTTGGTAACCCGTGGTATGACCTCTATTACCACCCCTTCTTTTCTTCGACTGCTTCCAACCTCCTTTCGAGCTACCTTGTTCCGGTGACTCGTCTGATAGCATCCTTGCTTTCGCTCTAGGGTTTGCCAAGTTCTCCTTCTCCCTGCCTGTGACGAAATCAAAACCAAATTTTGGTTGGCCAACTGCATACGGGTTTCCTTTGCACTTCAGGTCTCCTGCCGTATCCGCATCCCATCTCGCATCCATCTCCGCTTCCTCTTGAAGACCATCCGGGAGAATCACCACATCCACCTTCTTCCGATTCTTCCCTTTCCCCAACTCTGTCGGCGACCTCACTCAAAACTTAACCACCCTAACCGCTAGATGATAACATAGAGCCACCATCCAGCACTTGTGCTTGCGCGACAGCATGCTCACTATCTCCTTATGTTTCTCCACGTAATCTGCATACTCCGGGTATTTATACCTTTCTTTTGCATAGCGGTATTCGAGATCACAAGCCAGAATAAAATCCCCGTAGGTCATTTGTCTTTCTAACTCCTCTCTAGATTGGAGGTGGCGGTCCCAGTTTGTCTTCCCCACCTTCGTCTTGCATGTCGTCTTATAGAGGTCGATATACGACAAGTCGAAGACCGTCAATGGTACATAATACTTCATCCGTCGAAAGTTCTTCTCCCAGGGCACAGGAAGGTCTGGTAGGTCGAAGCCGGACAGTGTACGGAACGCGAAAGCTGGTTTCTTCTCCGCCTTGGAACTTTCTTCCGGAGAATCTGAGTCCGAGCCCGAATCTGATGATGAGTCGCCATCTGATTCAGAGGAGTCCACTCTCGCGTGTTCCGTCTTGGAGTTCTCCAATGACGAGTCGTTCGAGGAAGAGGGTTCTCCTTCAGAAGACGACGATGGGCGGCTTCTCTTATTGCCCCCCTTCTTCTTCTTCTCTTTGGCCACCTTAGTATGCCTCTGACTCTTCTTTCCCTTCCCCAACCGCTTCTCCTTCTCTAACTTCTTCCCCACCTTCTCCAGCTCCAGTTTGGCCGTGTCTAACTCCTTACGCAAGTTCCTCACCATCGAGATGTCTTCCGACTCGACAGCTTCAGCCAACTGCTCCGTTAGAGACCTCTGTACGTTTCGGCTTCCCAAGGTTCCACTCTTGGCATCCGGTTTCTTTACGACGAGTCCATCTACTGAATTCAGAGCATTCACTTGTCAGTCTCAGATACAGTCCTTCCTGGTCTTCCCACTGTTGTGGCATGCTGATCTCCTTGTGCTGTGCACCCTCCGTGTTGCTACTACAGTAAACCTGGAGCAACCGGGCCATGATCAAGATATAACCCTTCAGGTATCTCCTCAGGAGCGTCGAAACAGCTACATACTATCAAGAGAACCTTTCCGTACGTGAACACCAAATCAAGAGTGGCTTACACTGATTCTTTTCAATCAAGTTCCCAAACATCAACTCCTTCTTGTTCCTCCCGTTTTCCACTCTTTCTGTTTCCGAACCATCTGACGTCTCCTTTCTCCTTCCCTTCTCTTTCTTCTTCTCCACCTTCATCGACGTCTTGGCCTTCAATTTCTTCAGGACCGGTTTGGCTTCTTCTCCTTCTGCATCAGCTCTTCCTACCGACTCTTCCTCCTCTTCTGAAGGTACCTCATCTGAATCACCTTCGAATGGTTCATCCATTTCCATTCCTACCGGATCATCCTCTTCCAAACTTCCATCCCTCCAGATCACATCCTGATTTGTACTCGCTCCGCCTTGCTCTTTAACCTGCACCGACGAGTCCTCCCGAGTTGTCCGTCCATGAGAAGTTCCTTGGTTGACAGATCCGTTGGGCATCCTGGACTCTGCACGTCTCCTCCTCCCCTCCGCTTGTTCCATCAGCTTCGTCTCTTGAGCTTTCTTTCTCTCCTCTGCTTCTCTGATTGCTTGGAGCATATGGTTTGATTCAAATTTTTGTACGAAAGATTTAGTCTTCAATTTCCTCCACATTCAATTCTTCTTTCCAAGACTACCCAATAATCAAAGAACAGATTTCAAATCTGGATGAGGGTTTTCTTCTTCAAATTTTCTTTCTTTGTCTTCTTTTTTTTTTTTTTTTAATGAATTAAAATGCCTTGATTATAATTGCGTTCGAAGTAAAACTGAGATTTTTGAGAAAACTATGAGCTCAAGACTGGTGAGATTGTGTGATCTCCAACAAGCGGGATGAAGATTAAGCGAGCCGGGGGAGTAGAGAGGAAAAAACTCTGTCTATCTCTCCCCGCGTCTCTGATCACAACTGTTTCTCTGTGACAGACCGTCTGGTCTTTCACAGAGCGTGTGAAATCTCCATCCTCGCCTGTTGCCCTCATGGTCCCTGAGTCATGGAATTGTGTGTACCGCCGCAAGCTTAGGGAACACTGTCAATAAATGACTTCACCAGGAATGCCGTTGAGGAAAGCTGCGATGGCATCCATGCCATGAACATCGTAATCGTTAATACCCGCAACTGCAAGCAAGACACGAAACGCAGTCTTACAACCCGTTGGAGCAAACGTCTCATGATAGTCAATGTTCGCTACTTGAGAGAAACCCTGGGCACACAACCAAGCCTTGTACTTGAGAAAAGTACCATCGGCATCGGTCTTAGCTTTGTACACCCAGACGGTGCCAACAGCAGTGCAACCCTCCGGAAGTTCGCACACAGTCTACACACCACGACGCTCCATGTTGTCAAGTTCGACCTTCATAGCTTCAGTCCATTCATTAGACAGTGGACCACGCATCGCCTGTTTAAAGGTCTTCGGAGCGACGGAAGGATTAGCTTTGGCAAGGTGAGCATGTCGACGTCGAGAGCTGAGGATGTTATTGGGGTTAATGGAAGATGAAATATACTGAGGAGCAGGACGAGACACAGGTTCATAGGACCATTTGGCGTTGTCGGGTACCGTAGGTAGATCAAAGAGAGAAGAGTCACTAATCCTTACTTCATCGGGTTCCTCTGACGCAGGGTCGTTATTAGCGGAACTCCCCAGGCTTGTAATAGGTGCTTCGTCGTCGGATGACGACTCCTCTGGAGGGGTAAGGCCATGAGATGGAATCTCAGAAACAGTAGGAGTGTCGACAGAAGGCAAGCCAGAAGCAGGAATGGATTCAATAGAAGAAGAAATCTGAACAGGTGAAGATACAGGATTCATGTCAACAGTGGACGAGTCGTCATTTGACATGATGAAAGGTGCGACAGAAAGATGAGATAGGTCTTCATCAAGCGTATCTGAGTCAGGTTTTATATGCAACGTAAAAGGATGATCAAAGTCAGTTTCATTGAAGATGACGTCATGTGAGTAAATTATCTTTTGAGAGGCATAGTCCCACAGGCGAAAGTTGTGAAGCCGGTCTTGATAGCCCAAGAAAAGACATTTCTTGGAAACAGGGCTAAACTTTGAAGCACAAAATTGTTTGGGGATCAGGGGATATGCTGCACAGCCAAAAATTCTGAGATGATCCAGGGTGGGGATTCGACCAGTCCAAAGCTCATGAGGTGTCTTATAACCAAGACTGGCTTCAGGACACCAATTTTCAAGGTAAACCGCAGTAGTCACGGCTTCCCCCCAAAAACGCATAGGTAAGTTTGCATCAGAAAGCATGCAGCGAGCCCTTTTGGTAGTAGTGCAATTACCGCGCTCCGATATGGGGTTCTGCTGAGGAGTATAGGGCGCGGTGAAGTCGGAAGCAATACCTTGAGCTTTCAGATAAGATAGAAACTCAGTTGATATGTACTCTCCTCCGTTGTCATTGACTAAACGCTTAATAGATAAACCAAGCTGTTTTCACTACACCAAATGTAATCTTTACCGGGCGGTAAAGAAAACTACTGACATAGAAAAGTCCTGAGGCAACAGGAAGAGAGCTAAAAATCTGAAAAAATATGCACCTTGTTCCTAGATGTTGGGGCGTCATGATGAGTATTTTTTTGTATATTACACACAGATATTGGTTTATGTACTAACAATAAATGCTGAAAATCATCAAAAACTCACATGTAACAATACCTGAAATTTGGGTCATGAGTATGAAGACAATATTTTGTGGTCTAAAAACTTCAATACCTTTTGCAATTCTGCTCCAAATAACTTGATTTTTGGTTCATTCAAAAGCTGAACTATTCTCCTTCACACTTCATAATGTTAGTAAGGTGCTATCTAGTCATTTAAACACTCTACATATGTTCAAACAGTTCTGCGTGAATAGCTCTGTAGGATCTTTTTTAGACCAGCTACAGATGTGATGTCTCAATGAAAAATGTAGAGGAAAGGCTCACCTTTTTAATGCACTTCAAATCAAGTGATTTGATTCGGAACTGCAAAAGTTATTGATGTTTGAAGATTCCAAAATCCTGTCTTCAAAGTCAAGGGCCAAATTTCAGGTATTGTTACAGGTGGGTTTTTGATGATTCTCAGCCTTCATTGTTAGTACATTAACCAATATCTGTGTGTAAAATACAAAAAAATATGCGTCATGACGCCCCAACATCCAGGAACAAGGTCCATATTTTTTCAGATTTTTAGCTCTCTTCCTGTTGCCTCAGGACTTTTCTATGTCAGTAGTTTTCTTTACCGCCCGGTAAAGATGACATTTTGTGTAGTGTTTTGGACCAGACTCTTAAATTGCAGAAAATATGAAAATGCTTTGGACTTATGTTTGAGAATATATACATGCTTGTACTTTGTAAAGCCATCGGTAAGTTTGAAGTAGTACCTTCCTCCACCTATGGATTCAGGAGAGATACGTCCACTTAAATCACTATGAATAAACTCTAACGGAGCAGCAGGGCGCGGAATCTTTCCGGAAAAAGGCAGGCGATGATGTTTGCTTAAAGTACAAGTAGAACACGAAGATAAAGGAGACACAGAGGAAAATAGCATAGTCATGTATTGATGATTAAGGTGTCCTAAACGTCTGTGAAGCAGAGTTGAATCGTCAGTTGAGAGAGTCTTCGATGCAGCAAAGGCGAGAGACTTGCCATGAGTGAGATTAAGAACACAGATTCCATTTGAAATGACACCTTCAAGAACAGTTAACTGAGATTTCTTGATTTCAAAGCGCTCTTTTCCAGAATTGACTAGTTCAAAACCTTTTGAGAAAAGCTGAGACAGACTAATGAGATTACTAGAGAGAGATGGTACGTGTAATACATTGGTGAAAGAGAGTCCTGAATTGGCTCCACGGATTATGACAGTTCCTTTTCCAACCGCTTGAATCGAGTTACCGTCAGCAAGAAAGACACTTTCAGAACATTTGGAATAAGTTTTGAAAGCAGCTTGATCTCTAAACATAGTTACAGAGGCACCACTATCTAATAAGTTGAGTACCTTATCCCATTTCTTTTGCACGGCAGCTAATAGAAAAGAGGTAATAGCAGGAGGGCCTTGAACTATAACTGGAAAGGAGTCAAAGGTAGTTTCAGATGAAGCCACAGAAGCTGAGTGATTCTTTCCTTTGTTCTTCAGATGAGGATGAAGTTTATGACAGCGATCAGAAGAGTGAGCAGTATCAGGATTGTGTTTCCCATTAGAACAGACAGGATAATTCGGAGTGCAATTGTTGTTATTGCCGTTTCGACAAGCAGTATAAGTAGAAGAAGATGATTGAGTAGAATTGATGTTAACCTTCTTATCATTTACGTATTGTTGGATGTTGTTTAAAACAGAATCAACGGTTAGTTTTTGATCCACCAATTCGGCGCCATGAGTGATCACGGTCTTGAGATTGTATAAATCGTCAGGTAACAAGTGTAAGATAAAATAAGAGATCATTTCTTCATTGGTTTTGACACCCATGGCTGCAAGATCGTTGAGAGCCTTTTCGACAGTTGTCATGAAGCCCTGAAGGTCAGACCCATCGCATGATAAAGTAAATAATTGAGAAAATACTCTTCCTCGATTTCGAGCTTTAGTGGAAGCAAAATGACCAATAATAGTTTTCCATAACTCAATGGGATTTCTTCGATTAGAGTCGTTGATTAATAACTCAGTGATTCTGTCACTGAGTTTCAGACGGAGAAACCCCACTAAAAACTTGCATCACAGATCATAAGTAGCACGAAGGGCAGCATCAGAAGGAACAGCTTCTCTGCCGTCAATGATTCCATCTAGATTTCTCATAATGATGAAGGATTCTACTTTTAGATGCCAAGTAGAAAAATTATCTTCAGTTAGAGTCGGAACACTGGAGAGAGATTCTGAGTTAGAATTGGAGTTATCAGTGAATATATTAGACATGGTGCTGTCAATGATAGGTGTTCCGGAATTGTTTAATGGAATAAGAGTACTAGGATTAAAAGTAGAATCTGAATTGAGACCAGTAGGAGTAGAGGATCTCGATGAATGTGGTGATTCTGGATTGATGGAGTTGGATTCTAGTTGAATCTCGAGGTCTACAAGTGAAGCTGGAGTACTGGGAAGTTCTTCCAAGCTGAGATTGCTCATAGAGTTGATACTACGTTTTTAGTGATTAGTCGGATTTAGAGCAGCTCTGGGCTCATAACCTATAAGGATCAGAGCTTTTGACAGAACACAAGAGTTCAGTAAAGGCTAAAGGAACACGAGTGTGATGTAAAAGTGAAGTACCTATGGGTACAAGAAGAACATATAAGAATGGATTACTTTCACACACACTACTAAAGTAAAGAACAAACCTTTTGACAGAACACAAGAGTTCAGTAAAGGCTAAAGGAACACGAGTGTGATGTAAAAGTGAAGTACCTATGGGTACGAGAAGAACATATAAGAATGGATGAGAGAGAAAGACAACAGTGTTGAATCAAGCACATTCTTATATAGAAAGCAAACTCGTATGACCAAGGTACAAATGAGTAGATTGAGAAGGACAACATATAATGATGTCAGAATAGAAATGAAATAAGTAAGCATGACATCATAAGAGATATTAACTATGACGAAGTTAAGACAAAAAGAGAGAAGAGTTAATTATCTTTAATATGGGCCTTGGAATTGTGTTTCTTTGAAACACCGTGAAGAGCTTGTGGTTTACCCACCTTCATTCTTATCATCATTCTTACTTGAGAATAAGATATAACAACGGATATCCCGCGTACCCAGCGGAATACTTAGTCAGGAATCTAACTGAGTGAGAACTAGACCTCATCAGTGTCCTTTAAAGGTTGCCACCCTGACACTGATAAAGTAAGTCCATAATCAACTATTGGATATTTATTGATCAAAAGTATGATCTCCATGAAAATCTCCTATCAAGAAGACTGACCATTGTTGCCTTTACATAGTTAAACCGACCGAGTCAATTGAGGACAAGATGAATCAACCAGAAAAACCGAGTAATCACCATGATCAGTAGACTGAGCTTATCTTATTAACTTTGACTAAAACATTACTAGGTAAACTTAAGTTAAAGAAGATCAATCAAAGGATTCTTAATCATTGCAACCTGGATCTTTTTATTTCATCAACTTTAGTTTACCATGAAATCGTCATTCTTCAACTGAATCAACTATAACTTTGTTGGAAATTTGACCATCTGATCATATCTTACCGCCACATCCAATTTATACTAAATCGAAATTGGTACAATTATTAATTGCATATTTTGATTTTGAACAATGAAACTCATCCTTCCTTTCTATCTGTTTGTTTTGTAGGAAAGTTGACTCAAGCTTGAGCATCACAAATCATTTGATAGAATCATTTCAAGGATTCTTATCTATAAATTCAACTCAAACTATCTTCATTAGTGATGCCAACAACAACAAAAAATAAGACTGATCAATAATCAAGGAATTGGTAATCCAACTCCATTAGTGGGACCACCTCGATATGATGGTATAACTGAAATAGCAAGTGTGGCTTTTAGTTAGCTATGACTTTTAATATCTTCTTTTGACGATAGCTCTAACAGTAAATCTTGTTTTCTGAAAATAGTTATTCAAATTAAACCTGATTTCACCATCTACCAGTCTATCATCAAGTTCACCTCAATCACCATCCTCCATCTTCTTCAATCAATTCAACATTAGATTCAGAAAAACTTAAAATCCCATAGAATCAAATTTGAATCAAATTCAAGAAAATCAATCTCAACCTAAAGTTGCAATTCCAATTAATTAATGATTTGAATCCACGTGTACATACAACTTTAATCAGAATTTTCTCAAAATCATGGATTCAGACTTCAAAAGCTGTGATCAATAGAA